GAGCCAACACGTGGTTTCAACACGATGGCGCTCCAGCCCACTTTTCTTTACAAGTGCGGCAGTATTTGGACGACAAATAGGTGGATCGGCCGAGGTGGCCCTGTGCCTTGGAATGCGCGGTCACCCGACCTGACCCCACTGGATTATTTTCTCTGGGGCCATCTGAAAGCTTTAGTGTACGAAACTACTGTCCCCAACCAACAAGAGCTACTGGGAAGAGTGATGGCCGCGTCCGCACATGTTCAGGACAAACCGGGGGTATGCCACAGAGTTCGCCGATCATTGAACAATCGTGCACAGCTGTGTATTGAGCAAGGTGGAGGACACTTTGAGCAATTACTGTAGGTAAGCTGTTTCAAGAAACTGATCTTTTTTTTTGCTGCATCCCAAACGGCATATTTCCGAACAGGGGTTTATAAGGCAAAATTGTTCATTTTGATGCCCTCTACAACCCCTATCATTTTGTCGCAATAATTATGGAACACCCTGTATAGATGATGAGAGATAAATAAGCAAATAGGTGAGGGACTAAATAAATATAAATAAATAAATAAATAGACAAATAAATAAGTAAATAGATTAATGAATAAACAAGTAAATAAATTGAAAAGTACATTATAATGTTATCAAAATATCACAGTTAATTTTATCACAGAAGTATCACAGTCTCCGACAACTGCTCAGTTTCGGAGTTCTGTTGATTGGGACGCTCTGTATCATCACTCCGAACGGGTTGTTCCGACTGAAACAGTGCGGTTTTATTTGTTTTACGAGGTCTGCCTTTTTTCCAGCCTCGTGTACCCTTTTTTGCTTCTGGATCGTCAGTCTGAGACGAGGTGAGACTTTCATCAGGAAGTTCCGATCCATCTACAGGAGATGTAGCTTTTCTTTTAGACGAGTTAGAAGCATCTGATTGACTTCTAGTTCTAGACGCAATCCCATGACTTATCTTTGGCAATGGAGCGACAAATTGCTGGGGTGTGCTGCTGCATACTGCTTTGTTTTCTATGGCTTGCGAGATCGACGTTCTAATTATAGCTGTTAGACGTGGTATAATCTTCTCTATTATTTCATCGTCTGGGCGCTTCTGAGATGCTTGTGCATATGATAAATTTGCTTGCGGGGTAGGGATTACTACCTTCCTTCTAGCTTCAGCATAACTCATTTTTTCGATAGTAATAACTTTCTGTATAGCTGATTCTGTCTTATACCTTGGACATAATTTGGAGTTTGCTGCGTGAGGACCATTGCAGTTCACACACTTTATGGGCTGATCACAAGATTTTCCAGTGTGTATTTTCTTACCGCAAATGCAGATTTGTTCCTCTTGGCATGATATCGAGGTATGGCCGTACCGTTGACATTTGAAACAGCGTACAGGAGGTGGGATATATTGACGAACAGGTAGTTTGTACATCGCGCAACTAAGTCTCTGTGGTATGTTCGGAGAATTGAATGTAATTATGTGGCCTGGAGTGTCTTGTAGTTCATTATCCTTCTTTAATTTTATACGTTGTACCTTTATTACTCCTTCAGATTTTAGCTCATCCATAATTTCAGCTTCGGAACAGTTTAATAAATCCCTGCAGTAGATTACGCCTCTGCTAGAATTCAGAGAGGCATGTGGTTCAACAGTAACAGGAAAACTAGCATAACTTTCTACCTTCAACAATCGATATGTTTGACCATCTGTTCTTGTTTCAACTAGCAGCCCAGCTTTAATCTTCTTCACAGAATTGGATTCTCCAATCAAGCCGCATAACGTCTTTGATATCAGAAATGGACTTACTTTCATGAAATTATCGCCATCTATTCTCTTTATTACCAGGAATCGGGGGGTAGGACCAGCCGACCCTTGGTAATATTACTGTGTCCAGTGGTAGCTCTGCATGTAGCTTCACCTTCGCTGTTTTTGCCTACATTTGAGGAGGTAGGCGCACCTTTTGTTTTACTTTGTCTCCCATAGTATTGTGTTTGTCTTCACCTCCCCGGCTCCCCACACTCCACGGAGCCTCAATGGGAGGTTATGCTCATAATCGCCTTCCGCTAGGACATAACCCCAGGGATACCGTTAATCCTAGGAAAAGGAGGTATATTCCCCACAGGTAGCTCCACCATACATCGAGCATAGCGAACTATTCCCGTCTGGCTTCTACTACCTGTGGAGGCTCGCCCAACCAGCCCTCTGACGGGATGGCACAGCCGATTGACCGACGCTGGGCTAGGCGCGGCCGCCCTTCTAGACTGACGGCCGGACCAAAGTGGCGTGTTGCCCCCCTGACTGGTAGGGCTCAACCACCAGGATTCCATTGGCCAGCTTACGGGTCGCCGGGCACGGCACAACACCCGGGAGGCTAAGAGGAAGCCCCACGCGCCGCCTCAAACGCATGGAGTAAGGAAAGGACAAGGAAAGCCGGGAGGGCAGCGGACAGCTGCACAGGATATAATAAAAGGAGAAGGATGGGAGAAAGGGGGAGGAAAAGCCCAGGGTTTGGCAGATGAATAAGACTACCAAGCCCCGAACTCCCTGCCTGGGGCCGTGGGGGCGACGCTCCCCATGTATCTTCCCTTGAAACCGGACCAAAGATCCAGCTTCAAAAGTAGATACCCCCTGCGGGGACTTACTCTTCTTATTATTATTATAATTACTATTTATTTTATTATAATTATATTATTATTATTATTATAATTATTATTATTATCATTATAATTATTATTATAATAATAATATAATTATATTATTATTATCATTATAATATTATATTATTATTATTATTAGAATTACGATTATTATTATATAATTATATTATTATTATAACATTATTATTATTATATACTATTATTATTATTATTGTTATTATTATTATTATTATATTATATTATTATTATTATATAATATTATATATTATATTATATATTATTATAACATTATTATTATTTAACATATTATTATTATACAATTATTATAGTTATTGTTCTTATTATCTTATATTACTATTATTATATATTATTAATATTATTATTATTTTTATTACTATTAATATTACTATTATTATATTATATTAAATTATTATTATTATATTATTATTATTATTATTATTATAATGATCTATTATTATTATAATAAGAATAATTTATTATTATTATTATTATTATTATAATTAGTATTATTATTAATTATTATTATATTATAATAATAATTATTATTATTATTATATTATTATTATTATTATTTATTATTATAGTTACTATTATTATTATATAATTATAATTATTATTATTATTATTATTAGTATTATACAATTATTAGTATTATTATTATATTATAATTATTATTA